CCCCAAAACCCCAAAACCCCAAAACCCCAAAACCCCATTTTGGGAAATAATTATAGAATTAAATTCAAATAAAATCATTTGAAATGAACAGTCAGTTTAACAACGTTGTGTATGGAATACCAGGAAGTGCATTTGAAGGCCAGAGTAGAGAAGGTAAATTAGAGGTTTAAATGGGAATTTTGAGCCTTTGGGAGACTTTTTGGGGAAATTTAGGGGATTTATCACTTCATGTTTGGAATAAGCAAACTGGCTGATTGGGAAATATGATTATTATAATTCTGAGTTATGGATAAGCTGGATTAGAGGATTTTTGTAAAAATTAAAAATTTCGTTGTTAAAATACCTCCTAGGCGCCATTGGAAATTGAATCACTGAGATCCAAGATGAGTTAAAATAAGGTCAGACTTGAACTTGGCAATATTCCTGGATATCCTAAGGGAGAAACACCTCAGTACTTAGTAAAATTACAGGCAAACCTTCTGCAGGTATGACTCTCTTGCTTTGGGAGATTATCGCAAAAATTACCCTTCTAACATTTCCTTCAACATCTGTTTTATTCTAAATATAGATTGAACAAAACTTACAGAGAAAATAACGAAGAATTGATTGAAAGTATGATGATGCACTTTGAAGAAACTGCTCAAGAGTTGCCAAACTTTAAGCTTCCAGAAATAAACAGGACTCCATCTCATGACCATATGGATTCCTCTCTTGGGTTTACAAGCATGAAAGATCTCAAGCTTAGTGCATCGAAAATAAAAATGGCTAGACCTTTAAGGAAAAACTACGCTGGTAAAAGATCTCTTATTAAAAGAAACAAGAGAACGGCAAAGCATAATATCATAACAAGAGAGGTTGATGAAAACTTTATACCAGAGCCTCCTCCAATCTCTGATGAGGACATTAATAGAGGAATGATTAACCTCATAAATAAAGGAATCATCCCTAAGGATGTGGACATTACCCCTGCTTTTGAAAGAGGAGCTCCACCTCTCTCTTTAAAGCCAGCCTCCATTCATTATGGAGATCCTCGGGATTATGTCAAGAGACAAGTGGCAACGGGTGTTTCCAATTATAACTCATTGAAGTATGACCTGCAGCCAGATGAGGATGCGCCCCTGGCGATTCTTCCTCCAACTAGCCAAGAGCTAGTGCCTATGGATAACACTCAGATTGATTCAGCCAGAGATGGGATGAGTCATTCAGAACTAGATGCACTTCCTTATGAAGGAGACCAACTCGAAGCTATAAATGACCCTGAATTTGATGAAGCCCAGAGAAAAGAGGCAGAGGATGCAAGAGGGTATAACCAACTTATGGATGAGTTCTCTCTCCATCAGTTTATTATTAGGAAAGGAAAGTGTCTAGATGAGACTCCTGAGTTCATGTCCTTTAAGAGAACTTATATTTCAAAGTGGGGTTCGATTTCATACATTATCCATTTACTGGAGAAAATGTTGACTAATAATCAAGTCCCCATGGCTGTGGTGGAGGGTAAGAAATTAGTAGATCTTGCTAACGAAGACCTCAAGAAACCTCAAAATGAAGATCTTTATGATTGTCTGATTAATCAAGATGAGATAGCTAAGTACGTCAAAATTCCAACAAGGATGTTCACTGGTCCTAACGGCCCAACTATGGCTGTAATCTGCATTCAGAAGTATTGGAGAGGGTTTAAGGCCCGATCAGCGTATACTCAGTTGCGATTCTTAATGCAAAAAGCAGCAGTTATTCAAAAAGCGTTCAGACTTTTCTTAATGGTTAAGGCGACCAAGACAAAGATTGAAGAACTCAACAATGAAAGTCTCTTTGTTTGGCGAGAAATGATGGAAGAATTTAAAAGAAGGTGGCCTGATATCAGAAAGAAGAGAAGGATCGAAATCCATTGTAACAGTCTCTCAATTGGTGACATCAAGAGACTTTCAATTGAAAAATTCATGCAAAGGGAAAATTTACAAATCTCAAGATTGTTCTGACTAAGAGATCCGAACGTGAATATCATTTTCATATCTCCATTTATCTTCACAAATGATGTACTAGGGTATTACATGAAGATCTTACAGATTGGTGATATCGAGGAGGCTTCAACCAGATTACATGTGATAGTTCCAGAGAATGCTCATAAATTTCCATCTCATTTCTCACTAACACAGTGTTTGTTATACTCTCCTAAAGCAATGAAGAGGATCAAGAATCTTATCAGAGGGAAGCAGGCATATTTGGTTCCTGGAAGAGCAAATACAGATGACATTAAACTCTCGATCAATCTGACTGTTCCGATATTGTGTGGTGAGCCACAGAAGATTAATCTCTACTCGACAAAATCTGGCTGCAAGAGGATCTTCCAGCAGGCTGATGTGCCTACTCCAATTTCAGCTTTTGACATTTATGATGAGCAGGAGTTCCTAATGTCTCTTGCAAAACTGATAGCACATAATCTTTATGTAAGCAAATGGATCTTCAAAATAGATGATGAGTTCGGAGGCAGAGGCCATGCCTCCTTTATCACTGATAACGTAAAATTCATCACAGAGCTGAGGAAGAAGAAAAAGGTTGAAATTAACGATGCAGTAATTGAGAAGTTGATCGGGGTTCTTCAAAGATTAGTGCCTAAAAGAGTAAAAATAGCATGTCCTAGTCTATTCCAAAGTTGGGGTGAATATATTCAAACCTTCTGTGAGTCAGGAGGAGTCATTGAAGCAGCTCCATCATGTCTTAGCAATAAAATCGGAAGTCCCTCCATCTCCTTCTTCATCGATCCCGATGGTGATATTCAAATTATAGGATCATTTGATAAATTTCATAGCAGAGAGTACATCAATGCTGGATGATTCTTCCCACAAAAATCTTTGCCAAACATGAATTTAATGACGATTTCAAAATCTATCGGAGATGTACTATACGAGAAGGGAGTAATTGGACACGTCACGGTAGATCTAGTTTCCTTCCCAGACCCAACATCTCCGAAATCACACCCTCTTTTCTGGGCAGTAGACATTAACTGTTATATGACTGATTTTGCTGCTACCTGTTTCTTCTTCTGCTTCTTAATGGAAGGACAGCTGGACCAGTACACTGGTCAATACACCATTGACAAATATGAAGGAGAATCTGTACGCAACTCAAAGTTATCCCTGAGTAAGGCATCTAGCCGGAACACAGAGGCTGAAGAGTTTGAAGAACGGCAGTTCATGTATTGTTCGTACATCCACCATCCAGGGCTTGCTTCAATCCAGTATAAGACATTTTTCCATATGTGTAGGTTGGAATCGATATCGTTCGACCTAGAGAAGCGTAGCGGAGTGACATTCATCCTTTCAGACTGTCTTCAGAGTGGCTTACTCTCAATCCTATCTGTAGGGGATTCAAAGCAGGAAATAATTAATAAAATGTTAGAATCACTTAATTTTATTCAGAGCCAAGCAGGTCCTTTACCGATTAAAAACTTGAGTGATGATACAAGGTCTGATGATATTGATGTGACTGATGTGTTTTCGAAGATTAAATTAATGCAAAAAGCTATTAATAAGGACGAAGAGAAGGAAAGAACGAGAAGGAAAAATAAGGAATATTTGTAAATGGTTTCAAATAAATATACACGGTTGGGGTTTTGGGGTTTTGGGGTTTTGGGGTTTTGGGGTTTTGGGG